AAGGAATCTTTAATTCTAGTTTTTAGTTTGCCTACAATTTATCATGCTATGAGTAAGTTATCTTAAACTATTTAGGTTTTAATTTTTTTTTAATCTATGGAATAAATGCAAATCATTGTGGTGTTTTGCCATTGAACCTCTGGTTGTTGTTAAGTGCCATCGAGTCTGTTCCAACTCATAGTGACCCTGTATAGGGTTTCCGAGGAGTGGCTGGTGAGCTTGAATCACTGACCTTGCAGTCCAGTGCATTAACCCACAGCACCACACTAGGACTCCATGGCCATGACCAAACCTTGATTTTGAACTTCTAACCCCTATCTTGAGAGAATAAATTTCTGTTGCTTTCAAAGGGTACTTTGTAGAATATTGACTAGTTCTTGAGATATGTGCCAAGAGCAGAAAATCAAGAAAAGACCTACAGTTAATACATTTGGATAAACTGCATACAACATGCCAGTCTTGGAGCTGCCCAACGCTTAACTCACTGAGCTAGCAGTGTGCCTTCTGGGAGATTTAAAACACCCAATAGCATATTAGAGCCTCTGGGAATTCCTGAATTTCACAAAATTTGGAACACAGTCCATTTCTTTTTTTTTTTTTTCTTGCAACATCTGAGAATCTGTAACACAGTTGAGCAAACACTGATAAAATAGACAAGGTTTTAGAGTCTGCCAAGCATGCACTGGAATCCAGTTTCTGCCGCTTGCTAAACTTCCATTCTCTTGTAACTGAAAAACAGAGACAACAATACCTTCCAAGACTGCCTTGAATGTGGAGCACGGTTATATGTGTAAAGTTGCAAGTAAAATTCCAGAAATACTTTTGTTTTCTCAAACCCATGAATGCTCGTCAAGTGTCTCCATCTTCATCAAACTTGTGTCGAATGTCTGTTCTGTTTAAGACTGTGTATTAGTGGCATGCTTACCACTTGTCTTTTTATTTTGGGTAGTATATTGGGCAAAGAATCTAAGACCTACTGTTGAATACACAAAATGCAAACTAAGTGCTTGACCTCAGAGTTTGACCACCTCAGCAATTTAGAAAACAAAATCATTAATTAACTACCAATCCTAGGCTAGGGGATCAGAAGACCTAACCCTGATTACTGCTGGGGTCATCCTAATAAGTTGGCCAAGCAAACCACTGTATTTAAGGCTGATTGCCACTAATTATATACCTTTGGGCTAGTCCCATTCAGGTACTTGAAACTGAGGTATTTTAAATTTGACTTTCAAAGTGAACAGTCTCTAGCGACCTTCATGTTGCTAAACCCAATGGAAACTTTTCTGGCTTTGTCTTGTTTGCTGTAGTGGGTTGAATTGTGTCCCCCAAAAACATATGTCCAAGCTCTAACTCTCGGTATCTGTGAGTGTGATGTGGAAATAGGGTCTCTACAATTGTGATCAAGGGCCTTGGTAGTGCTGTGGTTAAAGTGCTTGGCTATGAGCTAGAAGGTCAATGGTTTGAACCCACCAGCCACTCAGCAGTTCTATAAAGAACTACTTCTATAAAGATTACAGCCTTGGAAACCCTATGGAGCAGTTCAGCTCTGTCCTAAAGGTCATTATGAGTTGGAACGGCTCGTGGGTGGTGGTGGCAGGTGTGATCCTGTTAAGTTGAGGTCATATTACATCAAAGTAGGCTCTGAATCCTATGACTAGTGTCTTTATAGAAGAAAAGAAAAAATTTGGACACAGAGACACAGAGGAAACACAGGATGAAAGGCCATGAAGTTGGAGGTAGGTATTATTATTAAACTACCACAAGCAAGACATATCTGGGGTCACTAGAAGCTTGAAGAGGCAAGGAATGGTTCTTCCCTGCAGTCTTTAGAGAGAGAGCATGGCTCTGCCCAAATCTTCATCTTGAACTTCTAACACCGTTACTATGAGGGAATACATTTTCTGTTGCTTAAAGACATCCAGTTTGCTGTGATTTGTGGTAATGTGTTACAGCAACACTAGCAAATTAATATGCTTGTCATCTTTTAATGACTTTTTCCTTCTTCACACAATTTGTTCCTTAGACTCAAGACACTTCCTTGCTCTCCTCTTATACTTGTGGCCAGTTCTCTTTGATTTCTCCTATAAATACTGGGTGCAGTCTTGCCTCTGGGCTGTGCTTACTCTCTATACTTGCACCCTAAAGGAGATCAGTCATTTCCTTGGCTCCATATACCATTTATGTTAATGCTTCTTAAAGTTAGATCTTCAACCCAGACCACTTTGCTGCAATCCTATTTTCTTTATCCAACTGCCCATTTTATATCTTGGCTCTCAAGCATGAAAAAGGTTAATAGGTCTTAATCTAAACTCTTACTTATTTTTTTTTTCATTACACCAGTTTTTCTCTCACTTTTACTAACTCTCACTTTTCACCATAAAATCAGCTGTTCAAGTCAAATAGCAAACAGTCATCTTCAATTTCTTCCTTCCTGCTCCCCCTACTTCCCCTACCCCCATCCAATCCTTTGGAAATTTCTGTCAATTTTATCTTCAAAATGTGTCTCAAATTTCTTCCCACCTGCCTATCCTCAAGAGTCCTGGTGTGGCGCTAAGGGTTAATACGCTGGACTGCAGGGTCGGTTTGCACTGCAATGTGGGTGGTTCAAGCTCACCAGTCACTCCTCAGAAACCCTACGCAGAGTAGCTCTGAGTTCAAACCAACTCAATAGCACTTAGCAACAACAGGGACAGGCTATCCCCAAGGCCACTATCCTAATTCCAGGTACCCTATCTCTCTTCAGGTAACTGCTATGGTCTCATATGGCCCCAAACCATCTACTTCACCTTCCTCCAATCCAGTCTCTATATATCAACCAGAGTAAGTTTTTAAAAAGTATAGATAAAATAACATCATGCCAGAGGCTTTTTGCTGCAACTAGACTAAAATTCTGTTCTTAGTCATGATGCCTGAGGTCATCTGTAATCTAGTCTCTGCTCACGTCTTTGACATCCTCTCATAGCAGCTCCCCAGCCCACACGTGACTACCATCTTTCAGGTCCATAAAGATGAGTTGCTATTGCCCACCAGAGAATCTTAGCACATGTTGATCTTTCCCCCTGATCTTCACATGGCTTCTCTTTACCATTCCTCATACCTAAGCTAAACATCACCTCCACAGACTTCAGATAAATAAACGTTACACAGGAGCTCATAAAATAAATGCACATGATTAAAAATGTATACCATCTATTTTCAAAGTTGAAGTTCACGCATGATTTTGTTTGAAGAAAAGGAAATCTTTCCTGTATTAGAAAAGTTTGAAATTGTTGACTGATCTGGAAGATTTATGCCCCTTGGAAAATTATAAATTTGTTCAGTCAAATTATTGTTAACCATCAGTGAGAATGGAAATATTAAAAAACGTCAATAAAGGCCATCACCTTTTTTGAACCCTTACTAAGTGCTTGGCAGTGTTCTATGTACTTTTCATGCATTTAGTTCTTACTATCACCTGGGAGTGAGTGCTCTTCCTTTTCCTCCACTTTACACATAGGGGGACTGAAGCTCAGAAATGTTAAATAACTTGCCAAGAACACAACTAGTAAATGTTAGTGCCAGCATTCAAAAGCAGTCAAGTCATTTCACCATCTAGCTTTCCATTTTCAAATCCAGTGTCAGACACACTGGCATTAGACACAAAGACCTCGTCATTTCTTACTTCAGCACTTTGTAAAATATTTAATTGGTTCTCCTTTGCATTGACTTCAAATTTGCCTCTTCACTGGTCTGTCTTGTTTGATAAGTTCATCAAACATCAAGGCTCTTTGTTCAGTTTCAGAAAGGATTACAATGATAAGCTTTCATAATTAAGAATATCTCAGCAGAAATTTCCTTTACCACTTTTCTCTTCTTGCCTTTATCTTCTAATTATTAGTGATGAATTTCCTGATTTTTTTTTTTTTAAAAACCTCTACTTACTTTAAATACAAAGTTGCAAATTAACTAAGGTAAGAATGTATTTTCCCCTTCTGAAATGTTACTTAAAGGCAATGTCTCTTGCTCTAACATTTAAAAGCAGTAATGATTCAAAATTGAATCATCCAACAAAAATTTGAATAAAAGAATGTTCTATAAAATCCTTAATGTCTAGGAGACAGGGACTGCTTTTAAATGATTTCAAATGTGAAACAAGGGATTGCTTAAGTACTGCAAAATACTTATGATTAGGCTATAGGAAAGCTTGAAGGTAGGTTGGAAAAATGCAAGGAAATAGAAAATGAAAAATGCAACTGACTAGGCTAACCCATAGTAAAACACAGGCTAATTTCTAGAATGAAATAAGCCAAATGTATCTACAATTCCATGCCTTTTCCAAAATGCTTTCACATTTATTTACAGTCTAAATTCATTCTTCCAACATAATGAGATGCATATTTATGATTTTTTTTTTTTACACATAAGGAAGTACATGTTAAGCTAATTGTCCAGCATCATTCAAGAGAACTATCATTTACTATAAGTCAAGTATAGTTTATATCCAGGATCTTATTTCACCTTCCTATTTCAACTATTTAAAAAAAAGAGATATTATTGTTCTAGTTTTACAGATGAAGAATCTGAGGCTCAACAAATTTTAGTGATTAGTTGGGTCGCTATGAGTCAGAAGGGACTCAATGGTACTTAACAAATATTTAAAACATTTGCACAGCCCCATCTGATTCCAAATATATGCTCTTCTAATGGTCCTATACTCCCTTGTAGTGGTTACTAATCGGGCTGCGAACCTCAGGGTCAGCAGTTCAGAATTACCAGCTGTTCCATGGGAGAAAGAGGAGGCTTTCTGTTCCCATAAAGATTTATAGCTTTGGAAACCCTGTACAGGGTCGCTATGAGTCAGGATCGACTCCATGGCACATACAACAACAATGGCCCTATGCTCCCTCACTGGATTAGTATAACATTCATAATAAAATAGACTGTTGCAAACATGAAAGTGTCTTAGCTCCCACCAGGCAATTTCCTTGAGCAAATTTGTAGAGATGTAGTCAACTCACCTGTTTACCTTCTCCTGCACGGTTACCCCAGACTGACAAGTCATCAAAGACAACATGAAAAAAGCAACAGGAAGCATCTCATGCAGAAGCCACCACCCAGTTGTTTAGAATGAGTAAAATTACCTATTCAGGGAGTTTGGTCTAAAAGGTGTCTATAGTTAGTCAAAGGAGCTGTTAGAGCTATCTAATGCTTCATAAGAATAAAACTAGCCAAATTCTCATTCAGATGTGGTTAATTAGTGACCAGAGTATTGATTAGACAAATGCTCTAAAATCCCAGACACCAAAGGTCACTGTTCTTCAGACCTTTGGAAAAACAAGATTCATGTGGTTGAAGAAAGGAGGATATTCAAGCAAAGCCAACTTGGCAAAGGAATCTTATTTTTCAGACAGAGGCAAGAACCAAATCAGTATGTAGTTCCAGAATTTACAGTCTTTTTGAGTGGGTCTTGAAACTTCTGAAGTCAAATCAACTTGTTTTGCAAGACTGAAACAAGGCTAATACCAGAATAGCAGGTTAGCCATAAACCCACCAGACAAAATGTAGGAAATACTAACAGTTATATAAAGGTTCTTTAATGCATCGCACAACATCTGGAAACCTGAGAAACAGGGATAATTGAATGAGCTTTCTATTTTTTATCTAGACACGGGGTATCACTAAGATCTAGGATATATGTGTCTTGAAGATCCCAGGATCCTTAAGCAGGTATCTCCGGAACCACTCTCTAGGTAATGTCAATAACAGCTGCCCATCTGGATTATCTATGACAAGGAGCTCTGGTAGCATAGTGGTTAAGATTCGGGCTATGAAACTTAAGGTCAGCAGTTTGAAACTATGAGCTGTTCTATGGGAGAAAGATGAGGTGAGGCTTTCTGCTCCCGTAAAGGTTTACAGCCTTGTAAACCCTATACAGGGTCACTATGGGTTGGAACCGACTCAACGGCACTTAACAACAACAATCTGGGCTTATGACACCCACCTGCATATTTCTCACTCTTCATGACAAATTAATAATTAAATTAAATTAATAGAGAAGGAAAGGTGGATAGATAGGTAGGTAGATAGATAAACAATATTTGGACACCTACTATGTGTTGAGCATTTCATTGTTGTTAAGTGCTATTGAATAGTTTCCAACTCATCATAACCCTTTATAGAGTTTGTGAGGAGACAGTGGTGGATATGAACCACAGATCTTGCAGTTCAAATGGACTTTGTGGGCCAGTGCATACCATATGTCTTCTTTGTCCATCGCAACAAGTGTACAAGATGAAAATTATTAACTCCATTTTGCAGTTGAAGATATTGAGTTCAAAAAGTTAATCTCCCCAAGGATGTACAGTTAACTTGATGTCTTTGGGAGTATTGAGAAACTCCCACTAGCAGGATTATCCAGTGATATCATTATTACTCTCCAATGAAGGCATGGGACATTCTAAAGAATAACGCATTTTTTTTTAGGTATGTATCTGATTTTAACAAGGCACCTAATTCTTATTGCCTCCTTTCCTCAAAGATTTGGGTAAAACTTGACAGGAAGCAACCATCAATACTTGGATCTAGAAAATCCATTGCTGATTTTGTTATTAAGTGCTGAGTCAGTTCTGACTCATAGCGACTCTGTATAGTGTTTCAGAGGAGCGACTGGTGAGCTTGAACTACCGACCTTACTGTTAAAACTGACTTTGCAGTCCAGCACAAAAGCCCCTGATTAGTGCCTCTGCAATACACAAGACTGAACCACATCCAGATCTCCAGAGATGAGAAATTTTCACTTGAAAGGACACGCAGACCAGCCTGGAGCAGATAGAAGAACAGAAGATACTTCTTGAGAGAAAAACCAAAGGAAAAATACAAAACAATAGAGGCAGAAGGACTGTTACTACAAGAACAAACAAATTGCTTGCCCAGCAAACATCAAGGTAAGTGGTCAGGTCCCCTCAGTGCAAACCTCCTCCCAAGAATAAGACTCAATGGGAATACACACTCTGATTGGTGACCATGCTCCTCACCAATAAGGAGAAATGAGGGAAAAACAGCAATGAAGTGGCGAGCTAAGCACAACAATGTGGAGAGTGAAACGTGCAGCTGATAAAAAGAGAGGGCATATGCACAAGA